TCCCCCCCCCCCCCCCCCCCCCCCCGATTCATGTTCCAGTGCCAGTATTGGGGACGGGCAGCCATAGTTGGGTGCTGGCTTTGGGGAGGGCAGGAGAGCTGCGTTGGCAGAGCGCCTGATGGAAAGAGCTGCACGGGGAGGTCTCCAAATGTGAAGTGAGGAGAGCTGACTGGGGCTTGCAGAGCATTGGGGGTGTACAGATAACCGGTGGTTTACTCCATCGTTCTGGTCCTTGCGTTGTTCCTGCTCCACTTGGCCCCACGGGCGAGAGTCATGTCACGACCGGAGGAGGTGGGAAGGGATGGGCTGCAGGGTATGTCCCCTGTGGTCTGGGGCTCTTCTGTGCCTCGCGTTCGGAAACGAGCAGGATCCACTTATAAATCTGAAAAGCCGCTTTGGTGAGGAATTGGGACACTGGTGCTTTCAGCACAGTTTGAACAATGCAGTCTCACCGTGTGCTCTGTGCCGGTTCGAAAGTTGATTTTTTTATAGTACTGAGAGTTTGGCTTTGTAAAAGCTAGCGTTACTTATCCAGCCCTTCCAGCTCTCAATTCCTGCATTGCTTGTGGCTGTACTACTTTTTAAAAAAAATTAGTACAGTTTTATTCTCTGAAGTTATAAGTTGGCCCCTAAATTGAGGGAAGGACTTTTGCCTGACACCAGGACAGCCTGAGGATTGGCAAGCCAATACAAATCCATGTCTGAAATTTATGATGTGATTACACTGTGCTTTACTGGTATATCATGGTTTTATTAGTTAAAGCTTGTAATAAATATAGTGCTTTGCTGGGACGCTTGGGGAGGTAAAGACCTGGATGGGTTTCTGTTCCCTTTAGGAGTAGGGTTTGCTTAGGAGCTGAAAGACAGAAATTTTAGTATTTTCTTACCTGTTTGCTTCTGCCTGTGTAGTCTCTGGGACATCCCAGCTGTGGTGCTGCCCTTGAACTGTTTCCTGAGGAGCCTGCATTTTTATGTAGGTAAACTTCGAGTATGCACTGGGTGAGGCACCTGCCTCTTCCTCTCTGTCCCCTTCTTTTACACCACAAGAAAAGCAGTAAAGACTTCTGCTTTGAAGTGGAAAACCTATGGATGCAAGCTCCTTGGAAGTTTAGTTTTAAATTTGGAAGTTGACTTGCAGAGATCTAGCAAGTCATCCTTTGTTGCCTTGTAGTAAGCCAATTCTTTCCTCCTTAACAGCCTGTAGGCATCAGGCCCTGAATTGTCACTTCTAAGTACCTTTCCACGATGCAGCACTGTATCTCAGCACAGATAAGGTCAGTAATTGGATTGGATTGAATTCTACTTCACATCTGCAGCCCTAAGCTGCCTTTACAGTGCAGTAATGAAATATCTCTCTGGCTGCCCATATCCAATATTCTTCATTTTGGGGATGCTACAGGTTACTATATGACCCATCATCCCCTGCTTTAGAGACAGCATAAAGCACATGCTGCGGGAATGAGGCTGATTTCATCAGGATTTTAACATTTGATTTCCAAGTGCACAACCTGTAACAGGCTTAATGATTGTGAGAGTCAAATTCTGCCGTCAGTGTAGATGGGGCATTGAGAGCTTTAGGGGAAAAAACCCTGTGGATGCTGCGGGGAGGCAGTGAGGCATTTGTAGGGAAGCGCTGTGAGCGTGGCGGTGGAGCTTTCCTATGTAACGTGGCTGCTGTGCTGTGCCCTGGGTTTCACAGGGTAAGGCTGGATGGTTGTAACAGGAGTAGGAGCTGCATAATCTTTAACGTAGTGTGGTTTTAATGTTGTTGTGAACTTGGTCCGAGGCGTTTCCATGATGAAGATTTAAAATTTCTGTAGTTTTAGGAAGGAAGAATTTGTAAAGTAACTAGCTTAAATGCCATTAGTAAGCTGGCTTTTAATCATAGCGGGTGTTACCCTGAAGCAGGGCATCGTCACAGGTATGGAGGGAATTCTATTTTTGTCTTGCATTCAACACACCATTCTTTAAATACTTTTGCTGTTTTTCATTTGCCTTGTAAAGGAAATAAATTAAACCTAACAAGGCCTTTGTCCCATGTGTCATGTAAGTAAACTCCACTGTTACCATTAGGTGTATTTTTAATTTACAAATTGTGGTTTATTTATGGAACTGCTGGTTTACCTGTGCTGTTGATTTTATCAACAACTAACCAAATGTTAATAACCCACGGGGGGGCGTGTGTTACAGTAAACCACATACTGCCAGCAG